GGTGGATCCGAAAAAACGCATAAAAGAGTAAGTATTTATAAATTTAAACTGGGTTTGAATTTCAAAAAGTGTGCTCATTTTATAAAAATTATGAATTTTGAAATTTGAACTGACATTGGCCCAATTTCAATGGAAAAATAGAACACAAATTATGATTAGTAAATCTAAGTAATTTAAACTCTATGAGGAGACGAAACCAGAAAACAGACCCAATGGATTAAGAGTTATTTGAACTAAATTATTGGGACTGATGAAATATGAAATTGAAAAGAAAAATTCCCAAATAAAGAAAATTGAAAAAGAAAAAAAAAATAAAATAAAAATAAAAAAAATAGATAGAAAAAGAAATAATTAAGGTTAAGAAATGATCATTTAAACAAATTGAGAATTTTGGAATGAGAGGGTAGGAGTGAATAGGGTAAGGACCCTAAATACCTTCTCTTTTAGTCTAAATTGAGGAGGGGAGTGTGTGTGTGTGGTTGAAGTTTAGTGGGCATGGTGAACTTGCACATGAATAGAGTTTGAAACTTAATCTAGACGTGGATCGGCATTCGTGTGAGTGTGGGTCACTTAGCAAACATACTTGCTGTGGCCATTATGTGATTTATGTGTGTGCTATCCATGCGATAGGGGGATCCATTTCGCATTTCCTTGATGATGACAAAAACGACATCGCGTGATGAAACCATATAAATGACCATTTGAGTGTATCTGTGATTTTTTGTGTGTGTGTGATTATGTTTCGAGATTATGAACAATATACGAATGTATCTATGATATTTTGTGTGTGATTATATTTCGAAATGATGATTGATATTCGAGTGCATTTATGACTTTCGAGAGTATAAGAATATACATTTAAGGTTTGTATATGATATTCGAGAGAATTTATCAGATCAATCAGGAACATTTGAAATAGTGAAAATAAGAATATGAATTTTGCACTGAAATATTTTTATTACTTTTGTTTCTTACTGTGTGTTTTACATGAAATTTTATCTAGGTTGAGAGCCGAGAATACTTATTGAGTTGGTGAAACTCATTAAATTTCACCATAATATTTTTCAGAGGAGAATGAAAAGCTAGTACCGCTGCTAGACGAGTAGAACCTGTAAAATAGTTCTTGTTTTTGTATATTTTGTGCATATTCAAAAAGTTCTATTTTGTTCTTTTAGACTCTAAATTCTAATACCATGTTTTGTATATATAATTACTATACATATCAAATAGGATGCTAGATTGTATTATATTTTTTTATTTACGCATGTATATATTTTATGGGCCCACTAAATGAAAATAGCATGAGTAGGAATTACGCCTCATATCAAGTATCAGGGCGTGACAACTTAGATTCCTTGTGCAACTCTACCAGATTACATAGCAAGTACAGTGCACTGTATATCTGCACCAAATCACACAACAAGTACAGTGTATCCAAATTCCACACGCACACACACTGGTTATACATTTCACGTGCATAACATATTAACACACATTAATACATACATATATATTACAATACAGACATGTACCTTTATTACATATCTCACACATAGTATATATTTATATTTACACACACAGTCTCTATTAATACATACACAAATTCATACTTAAACACATATACACAATCACACACAGCATACCATATACATATTTATTCGCGAATTTGCTATTATCAGTTCCGTTCTTATCAGTTATGTTTTTATCAATTTAATATCTTACTCATCGTATATTTTTATATATATACACACATGTGTAACAACGTATATATATACTACATAAACACAAATAAATATAAATTATACATATTAATTATATTTATATTATATTATACATACATTTAAACATTCACACATAATATACTATATATATACACATTTATATAAATATGTAATTTTTGTCTCCGTACGTAATACACATAATTCTTACCTATAGTGTGATTAAAAAAGCATTGGAAATTCTTTCTACCTCGATCTATGGTCCTTTCAAAAATCCGAATATTGTTTGGATAATTTTTCTCGTTTACAATAGAAAAAACATATATTAAATTATAAATAACTTTGAAAACTATATTATGCGAAATTAGGAGCAGATTTTATCTTAGGACATGCGGTCCTGGTCGCCAATGTTACCACGTGCTATCACATGCGTGTCACCGAATATGCCACACGGTAATGATCGAATCAGCGCGCGTTGTCGCATACGACGTACCAACATCATATTTGGTCGCCAAACTTCTAGTTTTCTTCATTCTTTTTTTTTTCTTTTTTTGTTTTTTCTTCTTCCTTCCTCTTCCTTGGGGCTTTTCCTTTCATCTTCCTCTTTTTCTTTTTTTCTCCCTCTCTCTCTCTACCCGACCATGATTCTTCTCTCTCTTTTCTCATTTTTCTTCGTGTGTCATCGCATCGCACTACTCCGCACAACTCTCCTCTTTCTTTCTCTTTCGACTGCAGCGTCGGCAACACCGTGCGACCCTTCTCTCTCTCCTGTTGATGCTGCTCCACCATTTCTCTCCTCTCACAATTACGCCTCTCTCTCCTCGCTCTCTTTCTTTTTTTGCTATTTTTTACATATATATATACATATGTATATACATTTTTTAATTATACATATACTCACATATATATATTTGCCACCTGGTTTCCTTGTGCTTCTTTCTCTTTTTTTTTTTATCTTTGTTTTTTTTTTATAATCAATTATATATATATATTCTTTTCTTTTGTACCCAGTTTGGCACCAGCTGAGTATTACAAAATATTACTCACAATCTTGTACAACATGACATGATAAAATATATTGAAATTAAGAGACATTTGATCAAGAAAAATCTAAATTATAATATGATATGTGCCCACCAAATCGCTACTTTAATGTGTTAATTAAAAATTTGAGTAACCTAACATTTCATATCATCATTACCAAATTAGAGATGGATAACATTTATTTTCGAACTTGAAGTGTGTTAAAGAATGTATTTTATGTATAAATAAAGTTAAACTAAGTTAAATGATATTAAGATAAAATATTCTCTTTGAAATTAATTGTACTTTTATTTTTTTATATCCGTAAAATTTATATATATAGAAACGTGATATCCAATATTCAAAAAGAACACAAAACAATTATTCATGATAATATAAAATAGTCTCAATTTTTTTTTTTTTTTAAATTTTTAACTCTCAGAACATATTTAATCCTCCAAGTAAAACACTCACTCTGGAAATGGGCTCGAGAGAGTAAGTCCCGCCTGTGGAACTCTCACTTTCTCTATCTCCTTCGTTTCAGTTGTCTTGTGCTGAGTCACTGGATAATGGTGTCACCGGTTTCGCTACCATCGTCTTCGTATCTTGGCCTATTCTATAGTAACGATAAGCTATTCTTTGGTCGTCCTCTGCCAAAAAGGTTTTCTCTTTTTCTAAGATTCTCACGATTTTTTTTTTTTTTCTCATTTCTCTTTCTTTTCCTAATTTTCTATTTGGGTGCTGAGAGGAGTGAGCGAAGTGGCAAGTGGGATTTTCAATTTTCTTTTTCTTGTTCGTAGGCTATATGGGTTTTGATTACATTTAAATATGGTTTAAGTTGAGCATCATTATTTTTTGGGTCCTCTCTGGTTCGAAGAGTTAGAGGAGTCCGTTTCAAAATTTGTTCGGGTGCTGAAAAAATGGGTTGTGAAGGTTGAGATGAGACTTCTTATATTGGCTTCTCCCGTTTTCATTTTGTAGGTTTACATAATGAAAACTGAGCTATTTGGTATTCGCTGTTTCTTTCTCCTCATACATGCATAAAATAGGATATCATCAAATTTGGTTCCTGTTGTTATTCAGCTTTATTATTATTGTTTGTTGTTCTTGTATATTGTTATTTTATTTTTATGATTTATTTTTATTTTAGCTGTTCCTGAATTGCTCTGTTATGTCTCGTAAGGCTCTTATACAACTAAATTCCATAATGGTGGGGGTGGTCCGATAAGAGATGGATGTAATAACATATTTCAAGTTCAAAAGTATCCATGCCTTTTCAATTCACTTCATCTTTATTTGTGACTGATCCCATTGTAGGTTAAATGGTGAAAAAACAGAAAAAAAACTTATTAAATTGACTAGTTTTGGTGGATTTTGCTACTTGCTTTACATTATGACTTGCCGTGTGCTAATGTTGTGCATATGAATGTATATTGATTGGAAGAAGAGGATTCATAAGCAAAGTGGAAAACATTATGCTATATAGATAAGATGGAAGGCATTGAAGTTGTAGTTGTAGAGAATTAAGATATTCACCTGTTGCATTTTCTGTTGTAACAGCAATCATAATGGAGTGTGCTATGTCAGCTGTATTTTCTGTTGTAACAGCCAATTGTTTTTGTTATTTTTTTAATCCATTTTTCGTGCTCTTTTTATTTTTCTTCTACCTTCTTCTTAGTTGTATATAAGTAGCAGTAGCCTTCTTGTAAAGTTGGTACGAAAATTATATATTTCAAATAGAAAGGTTTTTTGGTCGACAGCTTACTCTGTTCAGTAGTGTTGAAAAAGTGAATAACCACTGACATAGCTGCTTGTCATCCAATTCCTTTGATTTTTATTGATATCTGATCCTGCATCCACGTTTCTTTAGTGCTAGCTAGATTTTGAATGGAGCCTTTGCCTGGATCCATGAGTTTTCTTTTGGTGTCAACATGTATTTTATCTTATTTGTTTCATTTTCTGATGCTGTATATATAAGATGTTCTATCTCAAGTATATTCTGTAACCTTTCCATGGAATGGCAGACAGTTTTTGTTTTCCTTATTGCTGTAATTTCTTATTTCACTGGCCTTCTTATATATAGGTATGATTGGCACCAAAGTAGTTCTGCAAACTTGAAATATTATGGAGTTCAGTGCAGACTCACCAAACGTAAAGAGTTTTCTTCTGCAAATCCTGCTTCCTTGTTAAGGGAACCTCACAAATATTTCGATCAAGTAGTAATTACAGTACATTCTGGAGATGGAGGTCATGGTGCAATTCTTACTATGGCTAACCAAAGAGCTGCAAAGACACAAGGACAACATGAAAAGGCAAAGACTAAGAGGAAAAGCTCGTACAAAAGAGATTTTGATGGGTCACTTATCCTCCCTATGGGTGGGCATGGAGGGGATGTAATAATTTATGCAGATGAATCAAAAGATACATTATTGGAGTTTCATAAGAAAAGCAGGTACAATGCAAAACGGGGTGGAAATGTTGATGCGATGGGTGTTTTAACCTCTCAATTGCATGATGGTCTTGCTGCTCCAACTTTGCGAATTCCTGTTCCTGTAGGTTCGTCTAAGGAGCATGTTTTGTGCAAAGAAGTAGAAGTTATGGAGGAAATTGATGATATTCAACATTTTAATTTTCTTTTGGCTCAGATTTCTTTTACAGTATTAAAATATTGACGAGAGTGGTCACTTACATCATCAAAAGAAGGAAGAGAGTAGTCAGTTACAAAATCATACCATTGTAGATACTCGCGTACATGCTTGAATGCATTTAGTTGGTATGGACTTATATATAATGCCCATTTATGCTTATATTCAGGCACAGTTGTGAAACTTACACGAGGGAAGTTATTGGCTGATCTAGTGCACCTGGTGATGAATTCTTGTCGCAAGAGGTGGTCAAGGAGGGGTAAGATTCGTGTGTTTGCTTGAGTGAATACTTCTACATTTTTCCTGAGGATATATATGTAAATGTCTATATTGATATATTTCTGTGGATAAAAAGTTTAACTTTTCTATCTGCAATTTAATGAGATTTAAGTAAATAACATGTTCATGTTCTTTTTCTCCAAAGAATATGCTTATCCAGATATACTTCTGCAAAAATCAGTCACGCAAGTCCAATGTCCAGAATTTGAGGGTTCAAGTCATTCAGGGTTGAAAACTAAATGAATATATTCAGGGGAAATGTTGTATTTGAATAGATTATTTTTTTTGATACATCTGCAGTGTTCAGTGAGTCCCTTTCAATCATTGTTTGACCTTTATTACAACTGACTATATTTTCCATGACATTTGGCAGATAAGCTTGTTGGAAATGCCTGAGTACAGAAGGAAAAAGATGATGGCTTTGACAACTAATCTGATCAGAGATGATAGTGATAAGGTAAATGTTTGCATTTGAGCTCATTATTTACTGTTTTCTGTGCATATGAAGCTTGTTTACCAATCATTTAATGATACATTGCATAAGCTATCATCTTCATCAGCGTGCTGAATACAGGCAAGCTTTCTTGTAGACTAATTTTTCTCTGTCCCTGGACAAATTGAGCATATGTCCAATTAGGTTAGGGGAGAGTGGAGAAAAAATAAAGGAAAGCATGTCAGGATGTTTTTGTTTTGGATACTAGGATACAACAAGACTTAAAATTGAACATAACAGCAACATTTTTAACATTTTTAAACAAATGAGTTTAAAAAGTGTCTTCCAATAGATGGGGTGGAACTAGAAGTCCAATGCAAATATCTTGTATCTGCCACCTACTAGTGAGAATATCACCATATTTACATACTTTTATTTTAGGATTTTGGTCCAGAAGAAATATCCACTACCTTCTTTTCTTAAATACTATTCCATGCAAGATAATCACATTTGTTTAATCTCAGGTTTTAGCTCTTGGTCAGCCAGGGGAAGAGGTTAGTTTGGAGTTGATTCTCCGGGTTGTTGCTGATGTTGGTCTAGTTGTAAGTATCAGTTTTTTCTTCTCCTTTCCATTTTCTTTCTGTTGAAGAATGTATGTATTTCATCCCAAGTATTTTCAGTTCACAGCTCGCTTGAGTTTTTTCCCCTCTCTTTTGATGGTGATTCAAGGCCTCATAGGTCTAAAGGAGATAAACAAGATGGTATTATGGCTTACTTGAGTATTTTGTTTTTGTTTTACATGGTGATTCGAGACTTCGTAGGTCTAAAGGAGATGAGAATTGGATCAAAATATATGATTCCTTAAAAACTCTGGTGAGAGGCAATCTTTTGTTGTTGACGGGGAAGTGGGCATCCCAGGCTGCAAGTGTATTTTAAACAGGGACCTGTTTGCTATATAATAACACTCAGCTTCAGTTGACTCGGGTGGATGTGGCTCATGAGCTGTAACTTTTCGATAATTTAAATATAAAACCATTTCTAGAACTCACAATAACTTTGTGGGTTTGCTACAACAATATTTTAGCAATCATCATAGTAGAAACTTGTTTGAATAAGAACAATTATCTTGACTCTGCTTGGCTTGTGAAGCTGGCTCCACAGTTGGTAGAAAAATGGTAGTTGGAAGGTTGCAGTTGACATAGGACAACTAATTGAAGTCATGAGATTTTATGAGTAGTTGTCATCATATAACCTTGAATTGTATGAAGTTATAGATACTATTTTTTTATTTAAAAAAATACATGCTATTTTTTATTTTCTGATCATTAGGGACCCACTTGGACTTGTAGGGCCTTCCAAATGCTGGCAAATCAACTCTTTTGGCTGCCATTACACTTGCAAAACCTGATATTGCTGATTATCCTTTCACAACATTGATGCCAAATCTTGGGCGTCTTGATGGCGATCCATCATTAGGGGCAGGGAAATATTCATCTGAAGCGACGCTGGCAGATTTGCCAGGTCTTATTGAAGGTGCACATCTGGGGAAGGTATTATCCCTTTTTCATCTTGTCACACAGGTTGCACTGACTTCCTAATTGTCAAAGCTTAAATCTTTTGGTCTTTTAGGGTCTTGGTCGTAATTTTTTGAGACACCTGAGGAGGACTCGTCTCTTGGTTCATGTAGTTGATGCAGCTGCTGAGAACCCTGTGAACGATTACAGATCTGTGAGAGAAGTAAATATCTTCCTTTTTTTTTCTCTTTTTTGTTAGCTTCTCCAACAATTAATTCCTCATAAAAGACAGTCTCCATGAACTATTTCTTCATTGATCTGAATTAGATACTCACAGGATATGGTATGGTTTATCCAATCTTAAAATCTAGTTGTTATAGCCGAGTCTGTTAATTTGTTATTTGCACTATTTTTGTTGGCATGTTGGTGAATTTAATATCTGTTTTAAAAATCTCGAAGACATGGATATTTATGCCATCTAACTGAAATATCTTTTTTCATTTATATATTTTCTTTCCAATATTCACTGGATATCATCTGGCTTCCCGGCCAATTTGTTAATTGCAGCATTTTTGTTGGCATGTTAGTGAATTTAATATCTGTTGAAAAATTTTAGAATACATGCATAGTTATGGCATGTAGTTAATGAAATATCATTTACCTTTTTTTTCCCCTTTATTTCCTTACATGTTTGACTGTCTTTGGATCTGATTTCTTGGCAATTAACTGTCATTAGTTAACTCATAGTCTCCACTAAAGGATCCTATTTCAAAACTTTGTCCTAATGCACCACAGCACCGTATTGCAGACAGAATATGGATTGTTGCTATCACTGAATCCTTGGTGTTGAGTCTTCAATACCAGATGCAGAACAGAAAAATCCTAAAGTTGACATTTCTATAATAAGATATATCATGCAGAACAAGATCTTAATTTGCACAAATTTTTCTGTTCAAGAAATATTTTGTAATTATTAATACGATTTTGCATTTTTTAAGTTATTTAGATTATTTAAGTTTAGTTAGGCATTATGATATTTTAGTTAGATTTTAAGTATTATGAGAATTAGAATCTTTTAGATTTCCTCTTTTATAATTTCCTTTATGAGTTGAGATCATTGTAATATTTAGTTTCTTTTTAGGTAGATTTTAAATATTTCAGGAATTAGAATATTTTAAATTTCTTTTTCTATTATTTTCCTATTCATTGTAACTGATGTTTATATAGAGGATAGTAGCTACCAACAAAGAAGGGAAGACTATGATGAATTAAAAATTTCTTTGTTGGGATTTTATATCATATTATCTCTCTTTTGTTCTTCTTGTCTTTGTTCTATCTGATCCATCCCATTTGTTCTACTTTTCATTATATTTCTTCACCTTTGTCCCTAATTTCCTCTTGCATATCTTTGTTCTTCTGTTCTCTTCCCCATATTTCCTCTATTCTCTCTACTTTGTAGGATATTCTATCATTATTTGTTTAACATCAGTTGATATCAGAACCTAACTTCTATCCGTATCTTCCAATATTTTTCTGTATATTGCCAAAAAAAGGACGAACTCCCAAGTTTTGGTTCTTTACCTTACAGTCACTTCTAGAGTAGATCAGCTTCAACTCTACATGGAATCCGATAAACTTCTTGTTACAATTCATCATGTAATCGATCCGACATATGATGTGTTGTACCAAGTTTTTGGCCCCTATGCATGCATAGAGAGTATTGAGATATACTCACAATTAATTCAGACCAATAGTAATGTATTGAAGATGCTGTATATGTTAAAAACCCTCTCAATGGTTATTGCATATATGATAATTCTTGGTAGTTAAATGTTGAGTATTAAAGAGACTTATACTCAGAAGTTAGAAAACATAAGATCTTCTGCAAGACTTAAAAGGTTGAGCTCAAGAGTAAAACTAACACTTCTAATGAGTTAAGATAAAAAACTTGAAGTTCCTCTAGAACCACCAGCAGTAGCTCAAAAGATATTGGCTCCTTGAAGTTGTTTCTACTCATGGTGATGATGTTGAGGAACTTCCTCCTTTCAATAATCTTACTCTATCTTCTGTGATGGTGGTTCTCATTCATAATAATTATATTGAAGAGACCTCTTGGAATAATTTCCTTTTATCTCATGTTATTTCAAAAAAAAAAATCCTTTTATCTCATGATTCTAAGGAACCTATCATTTTAGTTAAGCTTATTTTTTTTGAAATAAAAAGTGTAAGGTATATATTAATAAGGTACCAAAAAATAGGGGTACCATCCATGTACAAAGATTTACAATGTAGTTAGAGTATCAATGACATTTCCAAAATGCTTATCACAATTTATATCATGGCCTAACAAACTAGGCCTCAAAAATAGTTTATCCACCCTATCTCTTAGATTA